ACTTCTGGCATCGCGACAGTAGTCCTGACACTCTTTGTAAGTCTCAAAGTTGTTCGCATTTCCTTGACATCCCGAATAGATGAACTCTTCACAGTTACCGGTCTTGGCGTTGAACCACCATCGGTTCGAGTACGTTCCGCAATTACCCTGCAATAGTGCTCGTTAGTGATTGCTGCGCTGTGCGTTCAAAGAAAATCTCGCGGTGATGACGAACCTGCTCACGCGGAAGTTTGCACACGTACTGCGGACGTGGACAGCAAACACCACCAAAAGTGGTCGATCCTAAACACTATCCATTCAACCTGACTGACAGCATACATTGAAGAGGATTAAAGACACATTTCGCGATTTCGAGTGGTAGTTGGCGGGGTTCCAAATCGGATGCTAGTTACTTGAATAAAAGAATAAATCTTGGCCGATCCTCCGAGATGGAACTGGTACCATTTCACCGTTTCGTGCCTGCCTTCACTGATTACATTCTATAAGTGGAAAAGCGAACACAACAGTGAAAACGCCCCAGGCAAGACCCCTTCAGATTCAAGATTCGAGATCACATTGAAATAATTTGATCCTGGTGCGAATGTCGCGCACGTGCAGCCTTTTGGTTAGGCCTTGGACTTGCTAATTTACGCCAACGTACCTGGCCATCTTTTACAGGGAAGAGCTTGCACAACTGTGGTGATCGCGAAATGTACCATCAAATAAGACTGACCTGAGGTACTCTCGCAAGAATGGGTCGATGGACAGGAGTTTGCACCACTGCCTGTTGGAGAGCATTCCATGTTTCGCTCACCGGACGAGTCCTTCAAAGGCTCGCCGGCCGAGCACAGAACTGAAATTGATCGTTCAAGAAAACGGCCACAGTTCGAAGAAAAGACGAAATTCTTACTTCTTGAACAGAACTTCTCGCAATGGTCCTGCGACAAGAAGTTGTTGAAGTTACCTCCTTGGCCAAGGTACTGAAATCAATAAATAACGTTAGTTATAGGCTCTATGGCGGCGCACTTTTGCAGGGGTGGGGTGGCATTTAAAGAACTCCTCGAACAAAGCAGGGCTTGTCTTAGTGTGGTGGGGAATTTCGCTCAACCATAACCAGAGTAGGAAGAAGCTTCGCGTAGATGAACCAATTTTTTATACGTGAAGGGAGTATCGGGTACAGTAATCGCACTTGTACAAGGTCCTTGGTCTACGCCCCACCTCTAGTAGATTTGCCCCTCAACGAATTTCGCGAGGCCCTCTGGCGTAGGTAATAGATGGTTACAGGAGCCACAAATCGGTATCCATTTGAGCAAATCGGCATTCAGTTGAGCAACTAGAAAATCGCTCGTCCACATAAAACTGATTTGAACTAGTCCACATGATTCTGCTTCCCGGGAAACTCCTCTTCCAGATCCATGTGAACTGGACGCGACGTAACCGCACGCGGCTCTGATCTACTGGCCTATCATAATATCAGAGTCCAAATTTGTTCTGGACCTTTGCAGATACAATCCATTCTAGCAAGCTGCTGGCTGCGTGTACAGTAGGTTGGAGACGCGTGCGGTTGCGACGCGTATCTATTACACCTAGGGCTGTTAAACTCTCTATATTCTTCCAAACGCCGCTCAATCGATTTTCCTTCGACGAAGTTTACGTCAAATACTGCCCAACCGCTATCCATTGAAAGAATACATGGATGTGCAACGCAACCGCACGCGTCGCTCCATCCACATATTTGTTAATTCAAATATAAACGTACCGAGAACTGAATACATCTGCCTTCCCTGGAATCATAATAGAATCTGGGCGATGTGGTTCCAGTACCGTCAGGAATTCCCACATCGAAATATTCCTGTTGGAAGACCACCGGCTGTATTGTACACCTCCGTAGGTATACCACCGTTGCGAGAGCAAATGAACACTGAAAACTGTACTTGGAAAACAGCCAGAAACAGAATACGAGGAAATCGTTCTTACAGTAGGTTGGGCAACATTGCTGGAGAGTACCCATTGTAGTGCACTGATAATTCGGATTGTTACAGCCGTTATCATTGCCTTGACAATACACAGGCTCTTGTTTGACTCCTGTCGTTCGGTCACGGTACAGAGGAAGACCTCGGTTGCAAGCTGGAAAAGATTCTATGATGGTTTCCACCACTGTTTGGGAGGTGACATGACAAAAAATGGCACCGTTTTGAAGACAATATTGGGAAACAATCGACCAGTGAGAACTGGAGATATCGCCCTCAGGTTCCGATTGAAAAAATTGTTAGAAACGCTCTAAACTCACTTTGCTTACAGTATGATTCGCAATGGATCCTTTGTCTGGAAATTGTTGGCATTTCCTCCTATAAATAAAAGTTTCGATCATGAGAGGCTATGATTGGCCAAAATAACACATACCGTAGCCTTGATATTTCAGCTCTCGGCATTCTCCGGTAATTGGATCGTGGTACCAGTGATTTAGAGGTGGTGCCACCACCAGGTGGTGTGTAACCCTCATTTGGTGGCTGGATGCAAGCGAATGCTGAAAGATTTTTCAAATGAGCAAAGTAAAATAAAGGAGTCATTGTATATAGAAAGATCATTGCCCTTTGAGCGATCAATACAAGTAAAGCTTTCGGACGAATTCACAAAAGAATCATGGAAAATGGGCTGTTTCTTCGCGGGAACAGCAAATAAAGTGACAATGGTGACCTTAACAAAGTAAGGCTAGCCTACAATCACAGGAAAATGATTAGAAAGTGTTCAAAGAGACAGTCGACGCTGATCACATGGACGGAGACAGTCAACCACTGTATCTTCCTCATTGGTGCTTCTCTCATCTTTACACTCTTAGGAGGAGAAGCGCACCAATGAGGAAGGCATAGTGGTTCACCGTCCCGCTCACATGATCAGCGTGGACCAGCGTTCATGGTCCCACGGACGGCACGCTGGTGAGGTGCATGAACCCCCTTGTTAGCATCTATTCCGCGCCATTTGATTTCATCATTTTGAGGTTTTTAGTCACATAACGTCTAGTCGGGGCGTGTCAGCGGCGCGTAGGTTGCTATACGGCGCCCACCTGTGTTCCATCGTTGCGGCTTGCTGCGTTCAGTGAGTGGTGGAAAAGTGGCTGGCATCTTGCCAAAACCGCTGTACTG